AAAAAAAAAAAAAAAAAAAAAAAAACTTTTTTTTGTTAGGATATTTATTAATTGAATGAAATTGGAAGGGAGCGCTTTTTCAAATGTCTAAACAAAGTTACAAAATATATAAAAATTTAAGTAATTGATTTATATAACGGTTATTTTTATATGTGATATGGTTGTTTGATCAGCCTAATAGTTAAACAATTATACTTTTCAACACATATACATAGTTTCACACACAAGCGGCATGCTTTAAAAAATGACATGAATAAAAATATAATATTTTTTAGTATATAAATGCCTTTTGTTGAAAAAGTATAATGGATCCTCAGTCTAACCATTAAATTGCCTCTCTTAAGAATTGTGATCTTTATATTAGTTTGTGTCAAACTCATATTAAGGATTTTTTTACACATAACAATATTTTATATGTAGGTATAAATATATGACTAACTAAATTAAATTTATTCTACATGGATTTATCCTCTTTACATGATTAAAATATTTTATACCATAAAAATATAAAAAATAATGAGTCAATAAAAATAGTAGTTTGTCTTATTTATTTGTTATATCCACTTTTCAAACGTCATTTCAAACTTATATTTTTTGATATTTTTATTCTTTATTCTTTTAACACTAATATTTTATATGTATATAAGAGAACATAGTTATTGCTAAATTGCGCTTGATAAGTAAAAATTAATTGATTTTGCATTGTAAATATTAAATTGTATTCTATTAAAAATATATAGAAATTATATATTTTCTTATAAATAACAAGATTGGCATGATTTGATAATTATGCATAAAAATCAAATAAATAAGTTAGGCTATGTTTGGTAGACAAATAAACTAACTTATATCTTACTTGGTTAGCTTATGAGTTTCACGTATTTAAATAAGTTTCCATTGGTGGGACTAAACTTTTTTAAAAAGTTCGAACTTACCTCATAAGCTTCTTTGAGTAGCTTTTCAAGTAAACTCGTTGAAATTTTTATTTCAGCAAACTTACCAGTTAATTTTAGTAAACACTTTTATCATATAAGCTAGTTTTTCACCTATAAGTTATAAACCATAAGTTCGAAAATTATTGATAAGTTATAAACTAGCTTATCAGCTAATTTTACCAAATATATTCTTAATATATTGTTTTTATTTATTCAATTGTAACTCGTAGGTAGTGTTCGATTCACGACCTGGCCCAGCCCGGTCCGGCTCGGCCCGGCCCGACTATATCTAATGGTCGATTCAAATGAACTGGCGACTTAACGGTTCGTTGAACCGTCGTTTTTTTTTTTAAAATAAAAAATAAATAACAACCACGACCCATTTTTTTACCCGGAACCGACGGATAAAAAAGAAACGGAACCGACCATTTTTATCACCGGTCCAAGTTTCAAGACACGTAGTCCGGGCCGGTTTCGGGTCGCGAATTCGATGGGCCGGGTCGGCCCATGCCATGTCTACTCGCAAGTGAGAAATAAATCAGGGTGGAGAAAACTTGTGGAGTCCGACTGAGCGCGCGTCTGCGGAGAGGCAAATGCTGAAGCTCAAATGCGCCGATATGTCTGCCGGCGAGTCTCCGGCGAAATCCTCATCTTAATGTTGGAATCCGTCGAATGTCCGCTCTATCTCCTAATGTGTTTCACTTGGGCTTCACTTCACTCTTCGTATGTAAAAACACGATTAAGGAAACTGTAGGTTGTTCGACTGTTCAAATTGTTTAGAGATTGCTGGTGAGAGTCAATTACCAAGCCCGGCGACAGATTTTCCGACGTCCTATGGTGCTTTTCACTGTAGTTCACGCCTTTTTTGCACGGTCAGGGCGATCTCACTTTTCGAAGGTAAAGTAATTATGCCGAGTGTGATTCGATTTCTTACTTTCTCTTCGATATGCTTTATTGACAGCTTTCTAATTTTACTTTCTCTGCATTGATTTTTTCGTAGAGCTTTGCCCTTTTTTCGTTTGTGGCCAATTTTTTTTTTTCGATTTGTTTGTTATGTTAACAAAAACAAAGTTTTAAACAGTCCGTTGTTCCATAACATCCTTAAACTGTTCATTTTTCACTTGAAAATCTTGCGGATTTCGTCTATTCCTGTGTACTGGGTTGTCCAAATGTGAGTTATGGTGGGTGGTTAGCTGTGAAAGATGATTGGGAGAAGTGATCCTATGACTTGCTTTTGTTAAGAAATGCAGATTGTTTGGAGTTCAGTTCTGTTTATTGTTTTTAATTTCTGAGGAACTTGTTGATGTTCAACCTGGGATTTGTAGAGAATGGTAACCTTTGATGTGAGATTTCATAGAAAATATACTGTAGCTTGCCATTTACAGGGCAGTGTGAGCTGGAGGTGTTGTCACTGTTATTCTTTCTGCACCCATTTTCACATTAATCTAGGCAAAATCTGTTCTGTAGTGAATTGGCTCTTTGAACTGTTCCTGTATTCTTTCATTCTCCCCTCTCCCTTTATATTTGTTTGTTCATCTGTCAACCTCAAGTGTGTGTTCCTGTAAGGAATATTCATGGTTTTTCATCTCTCTCTCTCTCTCTCTCTCTCTCTCTCTCTCTCTCTCTCTCTCTCTCCCTTTAGGTGTTTATTGGTGGAGTGGAACTTTTCTTAGCAGGGGCATAGATGAATGGCGATCGTTGTTATAAATCATGATTTCGAGGAAATGTATCCAGGGGGCTTGGAAAGGATGATGAACATCTTTGAGATGAGCATGGAGTGTCAGCTAACAAGCTGATCAATGATAAACCACTCCGTGGAGGTACTTACTCTTTTACTCTTGTCTATTTTTTGGATTTCCCTTTTTTCATCCTTGGGGTTTATTTTTCTTCTGGGGTGTATAGTTTGTTTCTACGTACTTTTGACATGTAATTTGAAGCTGAACTATGGGCAAATGTTAATGCATAAACCAAATGATGAATTTTGGATAAATCTAAATGAATATCAGCGTCTGAACTTTTTTCCTTTCTTTCGTTCTTTCTTTCTGCCTTGTCTCAGTTTTTTCAACTCACACTATACTAGTTGATTTATAGATACACATCGTATGAGGAGCAAACCATACGTAACATGGATGTGCCCGTCTGTTGATCCTGTAGAAGAAAAGGAGGCAACTCTTTCAAACTAATAGAATCATTAGGCCACAGCGACATTTTCCCAAACTGATCATACCTTGTGCTGTTGTGTGAGGCTTGCAGATGGATTTCAATGGCAGCTTTACGAACAGAAGATCCAATAATAAACCAATGAAAATGCTTATTGCCCGAGAGATGTCCACAGAATTCGCTTACAGACGTGAGCGTCCTAATTTAGTTGCAAAATTAATGGGCATCGATCCCCTTCCCAGACGGGAACCTGGCCCAACTACACAAAGAAGCCACTCTAGAATTCATCCTCAGAATAATTCCACGGATTTCCCTTTGAATTACTCCGAGCCACAGAATGCATACTTCAACTACATAAATCCAAACGAGAAAAAAGATGTTCGGGTCAAATGGCAGAAACGACAGAAATATGAGGACAACGTAAATGACAGGAAGATGAATCTTGTCCGCCAGAAGTTCATGGAGGCCAAACGCCTGTCCATAGACGAAAAACTCCATCAGTCCAAGCAATTCCAAGATGCAGTGGACGTACTAAGCTCCAATAGGGACTTGTTTCTCAAATGCTTGCAAGAACCGAACCAAATGTTTTCCAGGCACCTTCACGGCCCTCCAGAAATGAATCGGATCACCGTTCTTAAGCCTTCAAAGGTTGCAAACAGCTATGATCTCACTGGATCCAGATACAAAAACGAGAAATATATAAAAAAAGGCACCTTTATCCAACCGAATCGTTCAGAGATAATCCATCCTGGAAATCCAACTCAACCGACACGGATAGTAGTTTTGAAGCCAGGTCCTAAGAAGCTTCGTGATGCGGAGGTTATTGGCCCCTCTCAGTCGCATCTACTGAAAATACCATTCAGTGAGGAATTTTTTGGGGATGCAGAAGATGATGAGTGCCGAAAATCGAGAAAAGTGGCAAAATCAATCACGCAACAGATGCGCGAAAGACTCGGGGGTCACCACCAGGGTGAAACCTTGGTTTCCTCCAATTTTTTTTCCAATGGTTATGCTGGGGGCGAGAGCTCATTTGATAAATCGGAAATCGAGTGTGAAGACGGTAACCCCAGTGATTTAGAAGCCTCCTCGCCAGTTTCTAGGCATTCATGGGATTATGCTAACAGGCTTGGGAGTCCGTACTCGTCTCCTGTGTTTACAAGGGTGTCTTATTCTCCGGAGTCTTCGGTTTGTAAAGAAGCCAAGAAACGTTTGTCTGAGAGATGGGTCCTGATGGCCTCCAATGGGAGCTGTCCAGAACAAAAGCATTTCCAGAGAAGCTCGAGCACCTTGGGCGAGATGCTTGCACTGCACGAGACAAAGAAGGAAGGTCCTCACAGGGAAGACGAAAGTTGTTTTGAACTCTTTGTTGGTGAGCAAAAAAGAGAAGAAGATGTGGATTGCTCGCATAGAAATTTAATGAGGTCGAAATCAGTTCCTGTTTCGTCTACTGAATTTGGATTGCTGTATCCGGTTATTCCGGTGTCGGACAAGACGAACCCGGGGTCTCTGAGGGAGGACGTGAAGGAAGCAAGTGTTGTATCGTCCTTCAAAGGGAAAGTTTCCAGCTTGTTCTTCTCAAGGAATAAAAAAACTGTCAAGAATAAGTCGCCTGTTTTGGGAACTAAAGATGAAGCTCACTCGTTACTTGGAGAAATTTACAGTGATAAAACTGAAAGTCTGAGTGAGAAAGGGTCCGGCAGTGAAACACCTGAGCTTAATTTAACTGGCAAGCAGGGCATGATATCCCCTGAGGTAATGGATATTATGTGTATCTTCTTTATAAAATATTGACAAAAGGAAATAATGTATATCTCCCCGATAAATATTTGTACGATAATATATTCTCATGCACTCAAACATTGTATCTTCTTTGTATATGTTTGACAATGGAAAACTGAATATCTTTTTTCTTTAGTTGTCTGATAGCATGCATACGAAAAACTGAACATCTTTTTTCTTTAGTCGTATGATAGCTTGCATGATGTTTTCATTTTCTGTTTGTTTGTTTTATTTAGTTCTTCTTTGCATAATTGAAGGGGTTTGAGTTTAACGTATTCTGCTAGATTTTGCAAATTTCTTTACTGGCTTGTGATTTGCAGCATGTAATTCATGTGAAGTTGTCAATGTCTTCTTTATCATTATAAGTAACAGGGATTTTATATATTGCAGATTGGATTTGCCATGGCAGAACCTATTGCATATGGAAACATAGGTGGAAAACACGATCAGCCTAGACCGATTTCTGTGTTGAATCCACTTTTCGAGGAGAATGAACATACAGCAAAGCCTTGTGACCAGCAAGGTACGTCCTTTCATTTCCTGAATTTCTCTTACAGTTGTTTGCTTCCCTTTTATCATAAAATAAAATAAAATAAAATAGTTGGATTGATTATTTATCATAACTTTTTTGATTCAGGAGTTCCGAAGCTACATAATTGTATTGGGCCAAGCTTGATTGACAAATCACCGCCCATAGGATCCATTGCCCGCACCTTATCATGGGAAGGCTCTTGTTTGAAAACGACAGCCTCATTTCATTCCAAATCCGAACACGAACCCTTTACCACCACCCGAAAAACAGATGACAAACTACAATGTTTTTCCCTTGTCAGGACTTTATTATCTGCAGCAGGCCTCCAAGGCAGAGTGCAGTCCGGCTCATTTCTTGCCAAGTGGCACTCGCCCGAGAGCCCTTTGGACCCATCTTTAAGAGAAAACTACATCGATAATTCAGATGACACGCGGCATTATGATGTATCTATACAGGAACTCGTATTTGACTGCGTAAATGAAGTCTTAACGGACATTGCAGGGGAAAACGAAATGGGTTCGCGCCGAAAATCGACAAAGGCCGACAGTTGCCTCACGGAAGCTGTGTGGGCCCGGATGAAAGTGTGGTTTCATGGCGAGGAAGATGGTTGTGGGGCCCACTACAGCCTGGCGGTGGATCGGGTGGTGGGAAGAGAGGTTGCGGGGGAGGGGTGGAACCGTAATTTAGGGTCGGAGATGGATGAGTTGTTGATGGAGATGGGAATGGAGCTTCTAGAGGAGCTCGTGGAGGAGACTTTGGTTGAGTTCACAGGTACAGAGTCTTAACTCTTGTGCTTTTTCTTCTTCGGTATTCTAATATAATTTAACTTGTAACCGTATAACTTATACTTGGCAAATCGCAGCCCCCTTTTGTGATGTTTGTATTGTGTTTTTTACGCGACGATGTTCTGTATGAGTATTATTTGTTCAGTGAGGCGTTTGAAGAAAAAAGAGAAGAAAATATTCAGTTAGTTATGCATAAAATTCATCTGTTTATTACTCTTGTTCTTTCGTCCGTTCTTTCTCTTTTTATTATTTATAATATGTGGGTCAACAGTCTGTCATATCTAAGTTATGTGGCTTAAGGGACAATAGAGAGACTGCAAGTGAGGACAAGTACAAACAGTCCGTCAAGTATGTCATATTATATCTCTTTTGAGCGAGTAAAAAGCATATGTACTTTTTGAAAAACTTTTACCAGGAAGCAGTGTTTTCTTCTTTTACTATGGTTCAAATAGCAACTTCAGAGTTCAGACTAGGGCTGCAAACGAGCTGAGCTGAGTCGAGCATTGTCCTTATCGAATAAGTTTGACTTTTTTTTTTTTAGCTGCTCGAGCTCGACTCGATAAAAAATTACAATAGCTCGAGCTCTGCTCGAAACTAAAATGATTGAGCTCGGCTGAAAAATTTTTAAGTGAAAGATGAAACTACCATTAAAGGCCTATGTTAACATATATATATATATATATATATATATATATATGGAGTATTTTAGTAAACCCATAAAACCAGCTTTATACTTTTTTCCTAACAGTAAATATTGCTATGGTTCTTTGCAATCTGGCTTTTGCAATTGTGAACTTATTTTCAGCTCCTTTTTTTTTCTATAGAAAAAGCTGAAATATAGTCGTTGAGATTTGAAGAGTTATTTTCGTGGTATACTATATACTTTCCCTTTAAACAAATACTTATTTGTTATTAGCCATCTCTGACATTTTTCTTCGGGAACTGCACGTTCTCTGTTCTGGTCCATGGCAGCCCCACCGATAAAATAAACAATTCACCTCTAAAAATATCCTAGTTTCTTAACTTTGTTATAAAACATTATTTTCTTGACAAATTACTTTTAAGAAAATCTAATACCGTTTACATAAATAATCATATAATAATAATAATTCATTTCCTAGAAAAAAATCCGTTCGCAAACCTAAGAGATTATTATAAAAATATTCTCTTTTACGACAGCTTTTATAATTTTTTAATTTTATTGCTAATAATGCCATAATTGGCATTTGGATCCAAATTGGGCAAGATACAATTTACACGAACACAACATGACTACATAGACAAATAAACATGACTATAGAGACAAATAACACGATATACACAATACAAAAATACGAAATTAAAATTTTA